TTTTTGATCGTTATAGCTATAACTTCATTCCAGCCTTGGATTATATATTTAATGGCTTGTAAAATATCCATCTTTAGGTCTTGAGTATCCATGCCATCTTCAACTTGCTTAAGCATCCATTGAATATGATAGCGATGATAATTTCTTTTAAATGACATAATGATTCCAGCATCCATCGGTTGGATCTTTGAGGTTGTATTTTTGGGTAAAAAACAGATTTCTACATGTCGAAGAGTTAAACCTGTTGTTTTGTGACTTGTGTAGTTATCAAGAAATAATAAAACTTTTTGACCTTTATATTTTTTTTTTATTAATGAGTCAAAATCATGAAGCCATTCTTGAAAAATGCTCGTTATCATCCAAGCTTTAGCGCTATTTCGGTAAGTCATTTTCAAATTGGAAATTTTAACATTTTTAAAGCATCGTGGTCATTGAAATTTTCTAATAATCAAAGGATTTAACTTATGTGAACCATCCGAATTTGCATACAAAGCAACAGTAATTCGTTCTTTATTTTTTTTACGTCCAAAAAGACGTTGAGTAGCTAATGAATGATCAGGTTCTAACCGATAAAAAAGAGCAGTTTTGTCCATATTATAAATTCGTTCTGGAGGATAGTTGGCACTTTTGCTTCGTAATGATGGAAGAGATTGATTAATAGCTATATTATCAGCAAATTCTGCTTCACCATGAAGTTTTTCCTTATGAATTCCATTACGTTCCTTGAATTTGTGAAGCCAACCTGAGGAAAACTGCAACGTGCCTTTAGGAACTCCCAACCCACTAGCAAGTAATTTAACTTTTTCGATTAACATTGCATCACTTAAAATTGTTCTATGTTGATAAGTTAGTATGAATTCGTTAAGTGCAAGCTCAAGTGCCGGAATCGTGACAGCTCTATTTCTTTTTTTTTCGGGTTTAATAATTTCAGTGGTAAGCCATTTATCCTTATTTTGCAAAATTCGTGTTATAGTGGATTCATGAACTCTAATATTCCACTTTGTTTTAATCCAATCTATGTATTTTGCACGAGTCATTTTGTTATCGCGAGCATAAATACAAAACTCACGCTTTTGGGCATCATTAAGAGAGATTTTTTGTATAGAAGACATAAAATTTTAGGTTAATTGATAGTCAAAGAATATTAAACAGGCAAAGTTATACGGAAAGAAATGATCCTTTTAGAATCTATTTATTCATTATCCATTTATATCAGTTACAAATTTTTTTTTTTATAAAAAAATAGACGAGCACTATTTTGGAAATTAAACCCCTTGAAAACGAGCACGATTATACCTGATTAACTTTAAGTGAATCTAAGTTCAGCTTATAGGTCATAATGTTTGAGAATGTTATCAAGCTTTTAGCAACTTGCTAAGGACTAGAAAACTTAACGAATTTGAAATTGGTCTTGATAGATATCAAAAAAGTTTAAAGAATGGATATCGATTACCAGTGATTGTTTTAAATTTTATATTGATCATAATCAATTAAAAAATAATTGATTGCAATTGATTGTAATCAATATAAATCAATAGCAATCACTCCTGCAGCTGGTAATCGATTTCTACTTATTAAAAATTTCTTGATAGAAAATAATCCAATCTCTAAAGTCATACACGAATAGGCATTATTTAATGAAGATAAAGGCATCATCGTGCCGAGGTTTAAAACAGGTATAATTTTGGTTTATTTTTTTTTTGAATAGAGCATATCAATTTGGGTTGGTTTTATGTTGACTTTATGATAGGCATTATTGCAAGTTATGTCTGAATTAAACTTAATTCAAGTCAAAGCTTGAAATAATAACACCCATGTAATGGTTCTAAGAATCTACAGTAGTGATATAAACAGATAAGAATTTATTGAAAGGGGAAATTTATGTACATAGTGACTTTTTTATTAGAGATAGCACAAGTGATCAGTTCTTTTTTCTTGTAATCGTTTACTTGATTTTTTATTGATGGCGTTAAAGCAATTAATGATTTTGTTAAAGCAATTAATGATTTTCTATTGATGGCGTTATATTTCTTAAATTGTATGGTTATGCACTAATCATTGGCGATATCTGTGCATTGTGATTTTTTTACTTGAAATAAAATAAGCGATTTGATGTAACAATAATTTTAGAATGATTAACCAAAAAAAGAAAAGTTCAGATTGCGCAATTATTTATGCATAGATCGTCTAATTTCTATATACTAAGATTTACCCGATTATAAAATCACGTGACGTGCATTTAAAGGAATAACTTACATATATCGGGGCCAAACCCGTACTTGCACGAGTCTTGCACGTGCAGAATATAGAGGGTGCATTTAGGGTCTAAGTCTCAAGCTCGGGACCGTGCTAAAGGGTGCATATATAGAGGGAGTGCACTTATAGAGGGTGTATTTAGAAAGGTCTATCTGTACTAATACTCTTTTTTTTAATTCTTGTATGGATGGTAAACAACGGTCATATATTTTCTTTGCATTTTCTTGTGCTTTTTTGATTTATGTAATAGTGTCATTTTTTACTTTAGATAATACTTCAATTAATTCGAAAAGTTAATATATAAATATTTCTTCTAATAATTCTTCATTTTTACTAGAATGGAGTAGAAATCAGGCTTTCTTTCTATATACCAAGAAGAATAGGATTATCTTCGTCATATTTTGTTTAGTAGTTCAATATGCATAGAGTACTGAGGGTATTAGTGAGTTCTATTTCCTCATGTTAGTCACTAATTTGAATATAGATTTACAAAGCATCTTATTAAAATGCTCTATTAATCTATTTGTTTGTAGATGATTGAGTGTTGAATAATTATGATTAATGATAAATTTCTTTAAAAATTCATCTATTAAATTATTTCGAAAATGCATTCTCCTATCTGAAAGTAGATATTGTAGATAGTTGTGATGATATATGATATCTTAATATATGAAGTCTACCACTTCTTGAGCATTGGTGTTCTTGATTGCTCTAGCCTCAGGCCACTTTGTCATGTAGTCTGTAGCTACTACGATATATTTATTTTCTTTTGGGATCACAGATAATTTTTCTACAATATCTATTCTAATTTTGTAAAATAGAGCTTTGACAGGTATTGGATGCAATGAAGGTTTTGCTAAATTTTTGCCTCTTCTTTAACAGGCATTACAGATATGAACATATCTTTGAATATTAACATGCATTTGTGGCCAATAATATTTCGCCCAAACTTTGTTAAATATTATATCAATCCCAAAGTATCCTCCCAACAGATACATATAAATCAAAAATAGGATTGGTTCAACTTTATATTTTTGTATAACCCTTAATAGATGATTAATTCTATACTTATCCTTCTTATATATTAGACTATTTTTTACTTCAAAGAATTGACTTTGGTTTTAGATACTTCGTTGTTCTTGAGGAGTTACTAATCTCAGTATCATATACTCTTGGAGATATGTTTTTAGCAATTGATATTGAAGTGGCTCCATTTTTAATTGTGCCAGAACACTAACTATCTGAACAGGATTAATCTTAATATCAGATTTCTTTTAGAAGTATGAAATATACTTTGAAATTTCTTGTTTAATTTCTTTTTTTAATTGAATAGAAACTTTTTTAAACTAATTTTTTTTTTTTTTTTTTTTTTTTTTTTAATTATACTAGTCAGGTTCAAGTTTCACACAGTACTTATTTATAATAGCTAATCTTGCCAGTACTAGGCTATATACATGAATTACAGATCTGAACACACCTTCAATTTTCATATAATATTTATTGTAGTATAAGCCTCACCAGTACCAGGCTATATACATGAATTATAGGCAGAATATCTCGATTTAACTTAATGTAATTCTAATATTTTTATTGGTTCTAAGCTCCTCTTATTTTTTGTTATCTGTGTTGTTTGTTTTTTATTTTTTATATATTCACTTCTTTTTCTTTTCTTAGATACATTCTTGATAACGTATCCATATTAGTATATTTTCTACTTTTCAGTATATCCCTTAAACTGTAGGCTTTTCTAGGCAAATTTGGCTAGAAAATTATCATAAATATAGTTATAATCTACTTTTTTTTAAATTTTAACATATTTAAATAAAATTTTTTTTAATAATATTTAAAAATAAGGATTATATTATAGCAGTATTTAATTTTATATTATAAGAAAA